CACAATTAATTTACGATAGAAAAAATGGGTTTCTTTGATCATAATTAAGTCAAATCTCAAAATTTAAAAATAATAAACGTGGAAATCCATTAATAATAATAATGCGATAATCATGGATAAACTTATAGCTCGTATATTGTGACCAATCAGAAAATATTTTCACTGAAAAATGGGTTTGACTCCTTTTTATTCACTTTTTCCCCTTTGCACGTTTTTCTCGCATAAGTTTAGATGAGTGGATGCCGTGCAGAAATATTGAAATGATAGCATTTTACTAGTTAAAGAATCTTGCGAGAAAATTTCCGAGCGTTAGACCACGAGAAAATTTTTTTGTTATTTAAATCCTATTTCCTGATTTATTTAAATCCTATCTCAATTTTTATATAAATGGGAAAATTTTCAATGGATTTCATATCGACTTTTACTTCCGCCATTAAGGAAAATTGTCCTCTGTTGCATAAAGTCCTACTAATTAAAATTTATCAAATAGATTTAAACGTTTTCCCCGAGTACATGTTTCTTACTAGTAGCTTCACATTCTTATGCTGTTTAGAACATGAAAGCGCTGAAATTTTATTGTTTTCTCTTAAAATTACCTTTGTTATCTGCAGGTTAACACTTTTTATGCTCTCTATCCATTCATTTCATAAGCTATACAGATGAAAATTTTCGAACCGCTGTGAAAACTTTCCTTTCAAATGAGTGAAACGTTTTGTGTCCTCGGGTTCATTCATTCCAATGGCAGTGAATATTTTTCTAGGCTAAATTCACATCATAAAAGGTACGCGTATTAGGAGAGGTGAATTACACCACGCGACCAATGATACAAAATTTAAATCAAGTTTCAATGTTGCAAATTGATGTAAACCTAACAATTATACTGAAATTTCAGATTTATATTGAGATTAAGGCTTTCGGGCGCTGAATCTTTCATGACGAATTTTAAAAGACACACAATTGTTTCGTCTCGAAATTTCTTCGATAAAGAACTAACATTTCTTCTACCTATATGATTGCTAGCCCGAGTGATAGCCGGAGTTTTTCAGAGATCTCGTCCAATTGGAGTTTTTCAGTTGACCAAAATGATTCATGCGCCGACCGAGTCGTTTATCAAGACGGTTCAGTTCTGAGACGGATCGTCAGGCCGAGGAAGCTCCTACTTATCTTAATGTTTTCAGCCTCGGTTCACTGGACGAGTCCGTTTTACTTCCAATATTATTGGAGAAAGAACAAATTTTTCAGTAGAATCTTTCATTGAATTTATTTATGGTGAATTTTTTATATTTTTCCGATAAATATTTTTTTGAGTAGAATCTCCGGCGATGAATGTCTGATATTCGATACAAATGAGTTTCATGTTCATTTTGCTCGAGGAGACGCAATTATATACGCTTGTAACAGTTAAATAATTTGGTATGTAAAAAATGTTTATATTAATTTAAAAAATTAAATAAATTGGCTACTAAAATACTGTTCTATATCTGGGTAAAAAAAAATTCAATTGATGCCATCTTTCAAAGGGTTAGTTACTTTTTTGATGTCAATTAAGACATAAAATTCCAACTTCATTAACTATCAAAATTAATTTCAGACCAAAGAGCAATAAAAGTTTCAAGTCCGTAAAACAGAAATTTCTCAGCACCACACGAACCTTGCTAAATCAAAGCCATGCAAACCTCGAAACTATGTTGTCGACGTGGTGATTTCACTGTCCCACTCACTGCTTCTACACATACCAGTAATGGTTATTCTTTCAGTCTAATTCATCCCTTTGTCTCATGATTTGTAGCATTACAGTTCAAATTACTAATGAAAATTTTGAGTTAAAAACTATCCAATATTCTTCAATTTACTTTACTGTGTGAACCTGACGGCTTGTGTTGTGTGTGGGGTGTGGCTATCAAGATCGATGCAGCCGAGGAGGGTTAAGAGCTTCAAGGAGCCTCGTGAGCAGCTCTAGGGCGCTGGTGTCGAGGGCTCTTCAGCTACCAATTTCACGACAAACATGCTCTGCATAGACATTTGGCGGGCTTTGTTTTGTATTAAATATTCTCATTATGGTGACTTAAAGCTGTTGGCTAGAACATGGCTTCGAATTGATCACTATTGGCGGGCTTTGTTTTGTATTGAATATTCTCATTATGGTGACTTAAAGCTGTTGGCTAGAACATGGCTTCGAAATGATCACTATTGGCGGGCTTTGTCTTGTATTAAATATTCTCGTTATGGTGACCTAAAGCTGTTGGCAAGCACATGGCTTTGAATTGAACACTATGACATATATGTGCTCACGTATACACTCGTGTATTTGGCCAAAAGGTGGTATTAAAATTTGTTACGGTTTAGCAATGTTAGTCACAATCTTAAAGAAACGGTTCGAGCTCAAGGCAAAACTGGCGTTTCCTTGATACAATTGCTCAGTCTAATAAGTCTTATTTGGGTTTTGTTGCCTCAAAATCCAGCTCAAGATAATTGTACCAAAATCGAACCAAAGAGTATGCTATAATTATTTTGTGCACATTATAAATTTAACAAACCTTAAAAAATATTTACAAATTATCGTCTCATTTTCAAGTTCTTTTGTGCTATTTGGATCGAACATCATTCGTTCTCCCTGTTAATACTTCTAACTAATATAATTTGTAAGAAGTATTATTGGTATAAATAGGAACATATTTCTTAAAAAAAGTTCACACGACGCAATTTAAAAAAGAAATGGTATAATTTCAGCTGGTTTGTGACTCCCATGTTCCTATTTCCATTTGCTCAATATTTCTTGATGACTTGCGCGGCGTTTTGCAGAAAGTCAGTTTTGCGTTTCAACTTCAGCCATAAGAGAAAGTTCAGTCTAAGAAGAAGAACGTAGACCTCGATGAACTTTTGTATAACATCAGCGAGGTAAAATCGAGACGAGGTTTCTGGTGCCATCGATCAAGTCTCCTCAATACTCGGTTGCGCTTCAAGAGTCAGCGGGATAAACAAGTCAAGGTTTGCACGCACTCTCCCTGAGAGCTTCATGATTACCTATGCCCACCACGAGTGCGGCAAACAAGACGTAGTAGCCGTCCGACCAGCAAACAAATTGATGGCCTAGCAAGGATATTTGCCGCTTAAATATAACCAAGCTCACGAGCGCTACGCAAATAATCATTGCATTCGTTTGCTGAACTAAAGAAATCAAATTGATGTTCAAATATTATCAGAAAGAGCCGAATGATAAACAGATATATGTAATTTGGAATAAAATCTTATCAAAAACTTTTCGATCCGGAATAAAACAGTTCTATAAATTTTATGCGTGAGTAAATATTTTTATCGAAGGCATTAGTGAGATTGAGAGAATTTTTTCCCTGAATGTTTGCCCCCTCATACCCAGCCCCCCTCACGGAGAGTTGGGTGGGGTTCCTCGGTCTATTAGCCCCCGGATATTAAAGCCGGCAGCGGACGTACAAATTCAGGATATTAACCGTCGGAAAAAATCCGAAGCATGAAAACAGTCGAATTAACCAGGAGATTAGTCCAGTTTTGCGCTTCCCGATGTCGATCGCTAAAAAATTCACACTGAGCGTTCGAGAGCGATGCTCCTATGAGTAATTTAGGAGCTTGGCACAGAATTTTTCTAAATTAGGTTTCCAAATCAGTGACGCCGTCATATTTCCGGAATCATTTGTAAAAAAGTTTCATTATCTAAAAGATTTGTAGGTACGCATTTTGATCTATAATTCTGTGATGCAAATTGCAAGACAAATCTATGTAATTGGTCGGATCACAAATTTGTCTTTTTTACTGGATTCAACGGATTAAAAATTTTTCGGCAATATATTATAAACAACAAATTGCTATGCTACGTAATTTTTTTCTAAATGACAGAATAATATAGAGAAATCAAATTTTTTTCTGTTCTCACTTACCTTTTTTGGAACAATATAACAATGATGGCAACTTCTGTTTATAAACCCTTCATTTAGACAATTTTTCAGAACTATATAAAGTGGCAGAGAAAACATATTAACAATCATGCATGTCATCGGTCCATGCAATCGAGATAATTTAAATATGTTGTGATTGACGCATGCATTTGGCGTGTGAAGTAAAATTGACTCGCTATCTCACTCAAAAATTTCTGGAAAAAATTACACTGCATCTTCATTCAAGCAATGTTGTCATTAAATAAGTTGAAGAAATGTTATTTATGATTCCTATCTGAGGTTAAAATTTGAGAGAATAGATCACAATAAGAAATAAAAATCTCCACTGAGCGAGTGTAAGCATACACAAACAAAAAAACATTTTCTCCCTTGAATGAAACTGGATGCGTTTACAAAATCTTGCGCTCATAAAATAATATTTCTATATGCAAGCCAACTGTCTTTTAAGTGACAAAGTCAATTTTACCTTACAACCGTGCTAAGCGCATGAACAGGATTTCGACATAGCATAACAGACATGCCAGGTAAGAAGCGAGCATGAGCAAGTTGACGTGAAAATTAACTATGGAGTTTGTGAAAAAGTTATCATTAACATGGATAAAAAATAAGATTTTTATTTTCTGTGACAGAGATAGAATAAAACAGCTGCATGTTAAATAAGGAATTACATTGAGAGCTGACGTAACAGCACGTGAAACCAAGTATGCTGAGACATTATATCAAGAAGCAATTACTCTGCTCTGAAAAAAATTCTAAGCTGATTCAGGACAGTGAAGAAAAGGAGATGGGCACGAAGCTTCATGTGCAGCAGCCGGAGATTCGCTGTAAGACATTAAGCATTTTCCTAAGCTACGTAACAAGAAGCGATAGCCAAAAAAAGAAAAGCTCCCACCTCCATACATAGGACATCATTAGGTTCTACACACTCAATTAATAAAATGATTTTACGAATGTTCTGTTCAAACAAAACTGTAAAAGAATAAGAAATACGCTAGCAGAACACCCACTGATTATAACTCTGGCCACAAACATTTTCTCGGCGAAGAAAATAGAAAGGGAAGAACTTCTTACCTGAAAGCCTCTTCCACGTTAGGACGGTACCTGGAGGCGAAGGCAAGAAAGAAGTAGCTTTTGTGCGGTTAATCTACGTTAGTTTTCTTTGTTATCTTTGTAAGGAATGTAAAAGAAATGAGAAAGAGATTTTGATGATGACAGAAGCCTTAGAGCCTAAAAGGTTTCATCAAGAAATGAATTATGTCCACGCCTACGGTCCATGAATGTCTAAATGAACAATTCAAATTTTTTAGCAAACATGGCATCTGGCACATGATTTCTAAATAAATGGTTTGAAGTGGCATGTAATAAAAATTTACCATGCTAAGACCCCAAAAAAGGTCTATTGGTAAATAAATGCATTATAGATTTTTTAATATCATTAGCCGATTTAATTCTTGTGTTTGACGATGTGAGGACTTTTAAGACCAATCATCACTTTTTTTTATTGGACTTTAAAGACCAATCATCATTCTTGGATGTACGACAAGAAACTGACGTATTGCCATTTCGACTGGAAATGTCAATCGCTGAATAATTAGGTCCTGTTGTTGAAAGCAAATGGACGAATGCCCCAATTGTTGAATGGACAAAAAAGAACAATTAGATAATTTTCTTAATTGCATTTGATGCCTAATTGCTCGTCGCTTCATCTACATTGATGAAGCTTCATCACTCAACTGTATTTGTAGTCTTACTACTGATATAGAACACTATGAGTCAATTTCTACTGCTGATAATCCAACTTTATCTTACAAGACGAAATGTTAATTTTGACCTTTTAATCAGAAACGCCATGTGCAGATTAAAAAAGAAGTTCTTAACCTTTTCCGCCTCAATACTCATATTGATAGCAAAAACCGCACCGAGTGAATAGGCGATTAGGTTAAGTTTGGAACTGAACTTCTGACCCTATCGTCTCGGCTGTCATTTGACGAAAATTAACTAAATTCAAGGGATTGACACTATTTTGAGGAATCAAAAAGTCGAATGGAAAAATCGGTCCAGCTCTTTACTTACAATTTGACTAGAACAGACTTTAACAGTCGAATTTACAGAGAGATTATTATTATTTAGATTACAGAGAAAGACCATTTTGAGGAGCAAAATTTTTATCTGGGGAGGGAATTTTTTAAATGAATTTAATTTGAATCAAGTCCATTTTGTAAAGACTGTCATACTTGGGACATTTAGACCAAGCGGGCCAGTCATTCAAATTTTATCTTTGATATTCTATCAAGACAACGGTTTATGTGTGCCCGTCGGCCTCACTAACAACCTTTCGTGGGATTTCATCAGAAACTTGCGCAAGTAGGCAAACATGGAGGAAGTTGGTCGAGCAGCCCACTTTAGAGTATAAGAATTTTTTTCGGGTATTAGAGAAGCTGAGCAAATTTTATTCCCTTGTAACTGATTGCTTTTGTGATTCGAGACTTCTGGCGCAAAATTTTTCCGGAAAATATAATAAGATTCGTGCCTGAAAAGTTTGCTGAGGGAAAAGTGAGTTTCACGCTCTAACTTGATTGCTGTCCTTGATGGAATTTTTCGATGTTAGAACTGTTGGAGGCCTCCAGGTTTATACGTCTATTTTAAAGAATTTGAATGATGGTATTGATACAAAGTGGAGTGTGATGGCACACAATCTATATAATTAGATTAATCCAAACTAAAATGTGGCAATGAGAGTTTGCATTTGCCTCTAAATGGTAGTTTGGTATATAAATGTAGTTTTTTGAAGAACCAATAGTTATGAATAGGTCAACATGATTCGAATGAAAAATGAATTTGACTAATTACATTCCTTAACGGCATCTGAAATGTAGGCTCTGGATTCTATTATTCATATTTAAATGAAATATTAGGATGCTTTCTTCATCATATATCACCAATTGGGTAAACGTGAGACGTGAAGTAATTTTACACGCGTCAAATTTTGTTTAAGGAAGAGTAAGTTTATTGAGAGGAAGAATTTAACTTTTTTGTATGTTTATCATGAGAAACACCTAATATTATAATGCATTATTATATAATCAATGACAGTAACACAAGGGCATTCGATTAAACACGGACAGTTGGAGAAGAATTTCATTTAAAGTGCACCTAGAAGAAGAGTAAAAGAAGATTATTGACATTTTAATTGCGTCTCAGTGCTTTATTAATTATTTAAGTGCTCAATTCCAGTGCAAATATGTTGAAAGCCTTTGCAATACTAGGCACACTTGAGCGGTGTGCGAGTGAGCTGAGTTGGAAAAAAGTTCAATGTTCAGTGAGGAGGTCAATATGCTGTGATAATTTTTTGGTCCTATGCAGATTTTATTCCCAGTAATTGGAAATTGTAAATGTGAAATTAAAAAGCATTACTAACAAAAATAATAGTAACCATGGAACATCGTTCGTTGAGAATATCACTTTTTGGACATGGTTTCGCTTCCAATCTTATGTACAGAAGACACGATAATCGGAAAATTAGCCTGACCAAGAAATATCTGATACTCACGTTGGGGCGTCGGCGAAGACCGGAGTAGCGAGGGCCGTGAGTAATATGAAGGCCGCCGTAAGACTCGCCATTGGTCTTATTGGCCGTGAGCGAATGGTGGCCACAATAATGGTCATTGTTGATGTTGTTGGGCAATAATTTTTAAGCCCAGCAGCAGCAACAGCGGCGACAGCAAGATTAGCTCTTGTATATCAAGGCATTAGAAACTATGAGAGCAACAGCAGCGGTTCAAAACGAACAACTTTTGAACTTGCTTTGCTCGTGTTTTCAGTCCCGCACCATGCCGACCGCTGCCAAAGCTCCTCACTGGGTGCTACGTAAGCGAGGTCGAGGTCGCTGGAGATGCATTTCACCAGCAAACATCGAGAATTGCGTCCAAAGGAAAGTTTTTACTCATGCCCTACACGTTCCAAGCCTTAACCTCGGGAGCCGTTGAACACTTTGGGCTAAATCGTCTTTCAGAATCCAACGGGGTACCAATCACCGCAAGAATTTTATTCACTACTCTGACAACTATCTCTTTCAGTCAGGCAAATCGTTGAGAATTGAGTTCATAAATGAAGTTTCGTAAATATTTTAGCGAGTATTAAACGAATTATTCTCGCTTGGTCGCCGGAGGAACAGCAAGCTAGCGACGAGGTTCTTCTACTGACGGTGTTGCGGTCCACACTGTCGGTGCGCCGCCGCTGCCCGCGTATTGATCAGCGGGCCTGCCCCGCTCTCATCACCAGGTCACCACCCCCACATCACCACCACCGCAATAACCATGCCCTTCAACCTACCCAACTACTAAATCATCCAACACCTCGCTTATCTTTTTTAGCTCTTGATATTACTAGGTAAGAAATAATTCACTAGATTTTTTATTTGTAAAGGTTCAATGATTTGATTTATCAATAAAAGATAGATAATTACGCCATTGTACTGGTGCATCTGCAGAAGCTTGGTAGGAGGGCTGGGCAGAGTAGAGGGCCACCAGAGAAGCCAGTGGGGGTGAGAGTGCCACAGAGAGAAAGAGAGAAGCTGCCAGAGCCTCTCCAGCAGCACCTTGCCCGCATACATCCTCTTTTTCGTTTCCTCCATCAAATTACTCAGAATTGTTCAATACGAATATTCAAAGATTTGTGTTCATGTTGCATAATTATGCTTCAGAGACCATGGCCACTGGCATCCAGGAAGACTTGAGCTTCAAGGCGGACCTGGCATCGCTGCACGTCTAAGACAATGGCAAGAAGAGCGCGATAACTTGATTTATTCCAGAGCATGCGAGGCCACAGGAGCCAACACTCAATTCTGCGCATCAACTTTAAGCGATGGGGAAAAAAACCTTCTGAATTGACCTCAGATTTTATCACCTCGTCGTGAGCGGCGGGAACCTGCGAGTTCATGAGACAGGATGACGCGGTCGCTTGATTGGCCCGAACTTAGATGAGTGTTTTGACTCGTTTACGTTCCGTTCAATCATCATAAAATTCGGTTATCGAAATCTCACCATATAACCGAAATCATTTAGCTAAACAATGTGTAATTCGTTGCTTACTATATTATCGTAAATTTCTTATTGATATTCGGTAATTCGCCCCCTATTATTTTCTGGGTATAGAATTAAAAGCGTCTGTACAAACTTTATTGTTCCGAATACATCGTAAATTGTTCTCCTCATCAGATGCACGTCCTGTGGATGGTTCTCCTCATCAGGTGTATGTCTTGTGGATGGTTCTCCTCATCAGGCGTACGTCTTGTGGATGGTTCTCCTCACCAGGTGTATGTCTTGTGGATGGTTCTCCTCATCAGGTGTACGTCTTGTGGATGGTTCTCCTCATCAGATGCACCTATTGTGGATGGTTCCCCTCATCAGGTGCACGTGTTGTGGATGGTCATGAGTATATGGTACATGGTTTCTCATTAGATTCTCACGAGTGGATTTCCGCAGAGTCACCATTACAAAAATTCATTGAATTGCTCTACGAAATTTTTGTACCCTAGCACATAATTATTGAATTGACTTCCCTTTGTGTTCATATCATAAGGGGTATACGGGTTATTTTCATAGCAATTATCCGCATTGCGTATGAGCAATAATGTTTAAGAAAATATATTTTTTAAAGTAGCGGTGCCACTGAACTTCTGTTTGGCATAATTTGGTACGAACAACATATTTTTCAATGAACGACAATGTAGGTGTAGTCAGGAACGGATCCATTCACCCTAGGGTGGAGATATTTTTTTCTAGCGATGAAAATGCGTTGCAGAATACAATGGCATTACGATCGATGAGCCATCGAAACAATCATTGTTTAGTTGTAAGAATGTTTATAATATCAAGAATTTATGTTCTGCTGTCCAGTTGATGGGATCTGCTCATTCATTTCGTAGTCTACGGTAAATGCTCCTAATATTTAATTTACTTACTTCTAATTGGGCATGCATTTGTAAATAATAAATAAGTAAATTTAAATTTAGCTCTTACGCAGAGGGTGAAACGATGTGTGTATCCGTAATTTCTACATTTAATATTCGAAAGGTAAATAAAAAATATTTTGCTACTTTCAATACATAATTACATTGAGTGATTGTATCTCTGCTAACAGTACTTCGCTGCCTGCAAAGCTGATTACGTTGAATAAATCTCTGTTCAAGGTTACGACTATTTCAGCGATTTTAGTGTATTAATTCGTGAACTAACTAATTTAATACTGAGTTAACGAATTAACCCATTAAAAGCAACGAGTTTAATGAAACGATAATTATATTTCCAGCTGACGTACGAAGCCATGCAGATTGCAGACCAATCATTGGTTAGTGAACAATAGTTATATACACTCTATTTTCATTCGTTTCCTCTTTCTAAGGTATTTACTTCACTTCTGGAACCACGATGGCGGCTCATATCCTGGAATTGTGCGCGATGATCGCTCACATTACGAAGCGAAAAAATTTTGTTAGCTCTGCATTCATAGCAATTTTGTGACTGAAATTTATTTTGCTGAAGATTTTGAGCTAACTATTGTACAGAAAGATGGTCAATAATACAGTTTAAACATTATTTTTTACATTTATTGTCGAATTTTAAATGGAAGAAATATTATCTTAAAAAGTTCGCGCAATAGATTCTTGATGTACATTTTGACGCATGTTCTAAACAATATTTTTCTCAGGATAAAAAGCACTGATATCAATACTAGGATGGGAATTATTTGGCTAGGGCACATGGATGTGCAGTTTTATGACGACTCCTCGAACAAGCATGTTGAGAAAAGCATGTTGAACATTGCATGTTCATTATTATATGTACGACAGATTTCTGGTTATATCGTTCATACTTAACAAACACTAAATCGTGCAGAATGTAACAATATTCGTGCTGAATGAAAAAAAAAAAAAACATTCAGGCTAGACGTAACCTCAATCATGCTGGACTTAACTAAAGTAATGAAAAATACAAAAAGAATCATGCTGAATGTGGTCACAATCATGCTGTACTTGGAATAGTGCTAATACCATATATAACAGTGACCACAGATGCAGCAATAGTGACAGCAGCCGCAATAGTGACAGCAGCAGCAAGAGTTGGGTGTGTGTGGAGAGTTGGGTGTGCGTGGAGAGTTGGGTGTGTGTGTAGAGTTGGGTGTGTGTGGAGAGTTGGGTGTGCGTGGAGAGTTGGGTGTGTGTGGAGAGTTGGGTGTGTGTGGAGAGTTGGGTGTGTGTGGAGAGTTGGGTGTGTGGGAGAGTTGGGTGTGTGTGGAGAGTTGGTGTGTATGGAGAGTTGGGTGTGTGGGGAGAGCTGGGTGTGTGTGGAGAGTTGGGTGTGCGTGGAGAGTTGGGTGTGCGTGGAGAGTTGGGTGTGTGTGAAGAGCTGGGTGTTTGTGAAGAGCTGGGTGTGTGTGAAGAGCTGGGTGTGTGTGGAGAGTTGGGTGTGCGTGGAGAGTTGGGTGTGTGTGTAGAGTTGGGTGTGTGTGGAGAGGGATAGGAAAGTGTAGTGAAGGGGAAAGTATGGTGAGAAGGGGAGCTGGGATGTGTGAAATATGGTGAATCAAAAGTGAAGTGATGGGTTTGATGTACGATTATCTATAAATATTTTGATGCAAATTCTAGAATTCTTCAACACATCACAGCTCCACCTATTGCATCACGAAACCGCTCTATAAAATCTCTTCAAAACTTAATTTTAAAGCACCATAAGATCATAAAACAATTCAAGTCACAATGAATGCGAATAACAATAATTTTTTTCGATGAATGAATAGCAATAAATAACTCACAACTATGACGTTCTACAATACCTAATAAATATCCAACCTCATAACCACTCCACTCAGCACTTCACGTCGTTTAATAGGAAATGTCTAGTGTACGCACATTCACTAACATCGGGAAAATAAATTAGTTGATAAGTTGAATAGGTGCAAGATTTCATTTGAATGATATGCATAGTCTTTTTTGGAATTGAGAATCCTTTTGCAAAAAATTTAGCGATAAGAAATAATACTCAGTAAATGGCATTTTCCTGTATCAATATAAAAAGTATGGCTCCATTTTACTCGGTTGAGGGGCGCTACTGCTGCCAAGAAGTGTAACTCATCTTTCTGTATAATATTTTTCAAATATTCAAATATATAATATATAATATTATAATATTTATAAATATATATAATATAATTATATAACATTCAAATATATAATATATAAAATTTCAACAAATTATCGCAGGCGAAATACGCATTTTGTGAGGTACTTTAAGCGTGACACGGAGAGTGCATTCAAGGTGTTTCTGCTGGAATCATTTCGGTGATCATCATCGTTGGACCACTCCAAAAATTTTATTTCAGAAACTGATTTTATGAAAAAATATTGAATGGGATTTAAACCCCACGCAGGGTAATCTCTAAGACATATGTTGAATCACTACGTGACATAGTTAAGTTTTCCCAACAAAGGAAGAATTTTCCAGGCTTTTCTTCAAATTCAAAATTATACTGCGAAAACATAAGGAAAACATAAAAATAATTTACTACCGGCTGTAAACAATTTCCAGCAATTAATTATAATATATTCGCGCCCAGACATTTACAAATAAAGAGGGAAAATTTTCAGAAATTTCAGGGCTGGTAAAAATTTGAAGAAATTTAATTTTTTTCTGATTTGAAATTGCTGAACTTAGAAATCAGATTATGAGGACATGGAAACATTATTCGAGTTTATTTTAGTTTATTGCTCCACAGGTATTGTTAAGAGAATGAATAGGTCAATAAGTTTTTTCAATATTTACGGTAGAAAAATTTGAGATTACACTAAACGGCAGAAAAAACTTTTTATCGTAAAAAAATAATGTACACTTCTTCATTTACCTTCATATTAACGCTAAAATTATTTGATGCAATTAATAATATTCATGAATTCTACCAGCATAAATCAGCGGCCTTATCCCGGCAATGGCGCTCCATGATTCAAAACGCCCACAGTTTTGTTTATTTAGGATATTTTTCCAATATAAAAAGTAAGAGAGAGCTGTTTTTGGAATCCCAATTCCCAGTGCAGGTTTAGGACGGCAGTTTCGAGGCAGGAAAAACAATTCTTTCGCGGCAGTCTCGACAGGTTTTGGTTTTTAAAAACATAATTGTGTCGCACTATTTGCCACATTTTGCATTCATTTTAA